AAAAAATATATATTTAACAATAATAAATAATATTGTAATTTTTTAATTTTTGAAAATTATGAATGTAATATTTTAAACATTAATAAACATTAAAAATATTTTTGTAAAAACATTAGATTGAATCCTAAATTTAGAGAAATTAAGAATTAAATATTTAATAAATAACTATAAATTAATAAAAACTAAACTATAATATCTGTTTAATATATATATTTATTAAAAATATTTTTCACTTCATTTAATCAAAATTGATTTAAATCAAAATTATAATTATTAAAATTTATTATAAATTATATTTATAAATATTTACAAAAAATCTACAATATATTTAGAATAGTTCATATATATTATTCAGATATATATTCACATTAAAATAAATTTATTATTTTATACAATTATAAAATTTATTTTCAAAAAAGAAAACAAATATACTGAAAATCAAATCATATTTAACAGAAAAACATTCTAAAAATCTGTTTCTGTTTATAACTTTTTTATATACAATCATTCCATTGCATAATGCATCTTTTATCTTATTTGTTGATTAAAATTATTTGATTTAAAAATATTTTAATAATAATTACTAAAAATATATTAATTTTTATATATTAAATTATTAAAATTTTCATTTTAAATATATTTATATAAACAACATAAAAAATAAGTATAATAATTTGGCTTTTCGTGTACTTAATTATAAAAATTAAAATATTTATAAACATAATATTAATAAAAAATTATAATATTTTTAATTTTCATAATATTTAAATATATTTATAATTTTATTTATATAATTTTATAATAAAAATATAACTATATAATTAATTTACATTAAATAAATAAATAATTTACATTAATGAAAAAATTATAATCAATAAAAACTTAATTTTTTAATTTTTATCTTATATCATACATTTTTATATAAAATGATATCTAAATGAATATAATAATGAATGAAATAATAATATACAACATATATAGTAATATCAAGTATTATGATATTTCTAATAGAAATCTTATTTCTCATATATCAGTATCTTTTTCAATTTATTTACAATGACACATTAGAAATTTGATTAGCAAATAAAAGATTTATATAAATGAATTGTTGAAATTATATTTAATATATTTATAAAAAAATATATATTATTATTATATCGTTAAAATTTTTATACGTTATTTATAATATAATTATAAAATAGTTTTTATATTTATTTCATACTTAAATTATAATATTATAAATATTTTATAAAAATTTTTAATCATAATATAAATTATAAAAAAAATTATGAAAATATATTAAAAATATTTTTAATTTATTTATTTAAAAATTTATAAAGTTTATCAATCATAATATATAATTTAAAAAATTTGGAAAAATTAAAGGATAAATAAAAAAATATTAATATTTAGATATTAAATATTTAGCAATTAAACTTTTAATAATAGTAAGATTAGTGATAAATGAATAGACGAATAAATGAGAATAAAGATAAAAATATTATTATTACAATAAATAATTAGTAATATTTAATTATAACATTGACATTATATGTTCCCAAACAAAAAATTAATTATATTAAATGAATATGAATATGAATATTGAATAAATAAACTATTATATTGAAAACTATACAATATATGAAAATGAATATAGACAAATGAATATATAGATAAGAATTTATAAAGTTGCACGAATATTTCATAAAATATATAAATAGATAAGTATTTATATAGAAATATAAATATGTTACATTATATACAAAAATATGTATATATAAAATTGTTAAAGATAGATAATCAAATAAATAAATAAAATTAATTATTAGTATAAATTAATTATTAATATTTTTCTAAAAATAAATTTTACTGAATAAGAAAAGGTAATCTGTATTAATTTTAGATATATAAATTATAAATACAAAGTAATATGCAAACTGCATTATTGAAATATTTTTATTATAATTATTACTGCAATAGTATTAAATTTATTCAACAAATGATCATTACAAAGCAATGAACATCTGATTTCTTTTAAAGAAATCTATTCTCAAACAAATCAAATAATCATTTACATTTTTAAAATTAAAATTAAAATAAAAATATCATATATCTCAAAAATATTTTCTTAATAATTATTCTTTTTTGTATATATAAAAATTTTATGAATAATTTATACACATATAAATACACATACACGCACATATAAACATAAAGTAATATCTTAATGAAAAATATTTAATTATTAAATTTAACTTTGAAATTTTCATATCAATAAGTGAATAAAAGTAAAAAAAGAACAAATCAGTGAAAAAAGAAAAGAAAAAGGATATAATAACTTACCAATGGTCGAGATGAAGGTCGTGTTGAAAGCATCCTCAGAGAACCTGAAGAGGACGCACGTCTTGCCGACCCCTGAATCACCAATCAGCAACAACTTGAACAAATAATCATACGTCTTCGCCATACCCTTTGTTTTTAGTCACTCTCTTTATTTCACGTAATTTCGTTCGCACTTCTTTTATTCCTTCTTTTATTCTTTTAGCTTCCTATATAATCTTTTCAAGATCGTGATCCTTGGAATTCCAATGACGCACCCTTTAAATTTAAAAGAGCACTCTTAGTTCAATATTTTTTTACTACTGTAATAATATTGGATTCACAAAATGCCTAAAGATGAAATTATCATAAGAATCTGTTCGAATAAGGCGAAACTCGCGTGATAAAGCACGTAAAAACATCTGTCAGAAAAAGCAATGACAGCCATTGGTAAGTACAACTTTTTCTCTGCTGTTGTGGCCAGCCTTCTGACTGCACTACGCTACCACAGGTGATGCGCGCATGTATATACGCATACGCAACACGTGTGTCGAGAACAAGCTGAATCTTTATGTAAGCAAATATATTATGGCGTATTCATAGAGAATTGATAATTTTTCAATAATAAATCAAATTTTGACGAATAATTGTATTTATTAATTAAATATATAAAAATTTAAAATAATATTATTTTTAGATTTAAATTTATAATCTATAAAATAAAAAATATATTAAGATTTTACATCAATTTTTTATTTTTTTTTTTGTATTTATTATCTTTTTAATTTGAACTAATCTACATAATCTAAATATATTAAAAAACATCATATTTTATTTATTTGTTAAAAAATGCATGAATATATTTATTTAATTAAATTTTTAATAATATATTTTAATAAAATTAACAAACTTTAACAATAATAAAATATAAAATCTAAATAAAATAATACATAATATAAATAAAAAAATAAAAAGAATATAATAAAATATTTTCAAACTTAAAATAAGTTATAAATAAGATAATATTATTACATAAATAAATTTTAAAAATATTTTAAATATAATTTTAAATATAATGTTTTAAATATTAAATTTAAATTTTGAGAAAATATGAATGTTTTTATAGGATATCCTAGAAGTTTAATAAAGATTAATAAAAATTATATCGAAATTAATAATATTTGATGATTTCAAGTACCTTGTTTATCTCTGAAAATTTTTATTTTATTAATATATATTGTTAAAAACAAATTCTTAATTTGTTAAAAACATTGACCAATTACAGAACGCATAGAATTATCGCGCGACGGAAATATTAATATATACCAGTGAGACATTAAACACAAATAAATAATCAAGTCAAGGTAATATATATCAAAATTATTTTATTCAATATTTATGAATAAGATATAATTCGATATAATTTTTATCCAATAATTATTCAGCATATTTCGACACATATTGCTTCAATTTATTTATTGATGATTCGCCAGCGATACTCAACATTATAACCCAACGTGACAAGTCTATGTATTCTATGATTGGTCAATATTTTTTTATTAATAATTCGTTAATAAAATCAAAACAAAAATTTTCGTAAAAGAAAAAATTGAAATCAGTTTAGGAATCAGTTAAGTTTTGCGGTTGACTTTTGGGATACATTGTATATTCTTATCTTATTTTTTAATAGAAATAGTGATGAATCGATCTTCTGAAAATATTGATATTTTTTTCTATTAGTATCTCGATATATAGCAGAATCATCAAATTTTTTTTATATATATACTCCAAATTTCATTGAATAAATTGCAATTGAGTATTTTTAATTGACATCATTTATTGTTAACATCAATAATTTATATTAAAAATATTAAAAATGGAAAAACATTTATATTAAAATTAAATCTATCGAAAAAGAATGTATATCGATATTAAATATATCCAGATATTCTATACGATCAATCAAATTATCTGTATTTCAAAAATTAAAAAATAATATTCATATAGTGATATTAATTTTTTATATATTATGTAATATTTATATATAATATATAAAATTTTTTAATATTTTATAGATAATATATTAATTAATTAGCATTGATAGATATTGACATATCGATTTTTTTTATATTTTTGTAAGAGAAATCTATATATATACATATATATAAATTCATATATATTTATGTAAATTGCTTTTTCAATGAATACTGTTTATTATTTTATCATAAAATGTAATTCTTCAAATAATTAGCTTAAATTTTATTTATATAAGTGAATCAAATTTCGTAGAAATGTCAATATTAGAATTTATATAATATTATATAAAATTTATCAGTATCATAAATCTTATCGATTATTTATTTTTATGAAAATGAGCTCTTATAAAAATATTTATTTATTTAATTATTTTGTATGCGTTATGTTTATGTTTTATGTATATTTATTATTGCATTATTTATAATAATAATTCCATAAATAAATTATTATATAAAAAACTAGTTTCTTATTTCTAAATTATAAATTTGATCTTAATTTCTTTACATTTTTAATTATATAGTTTTGTTTACATTTTGTTTATATATAAATTTGTTAAACTACTTATGATATATAATATTATCTAATTTTATTGATTATTACGATAAAATAAGAAGTTCAAAACTTTAAAAAATGAAAAAAAACATGATAGAAAATATTAATAAGTTTCTAGAAAATTCTTCATTAAAAGAGAAGTTATGTTATTTAGATTTTATTTATAAAAATTAAAAATTGTATGTATTTCTACAATATATTATTATCAATTATTTAATTATAATAAATTATTATTAAAAAAAAACAAAAATTGAATTCAAAAAAATTAAAGTTAGTTTTGTATGAAAATGTGTGAAAATATAAAAATTATTCTGTAGAATTTTTTTTTTAAATAATCATTAAAATAGATGAAATCATTTAAATAAAAAAATCATTGAAATTGATAACTTATTATTAACTTACATATTTATAATAGCGAATCGTATTATTGAAAATTTCAACATTATTATAAAAAATATTCTTAGTAAATAATGTTTATTTATTAAAAATTAATACAATTTGTATCAAGAAAGTAGTAATTTTAAATTTTAAATTAGATGTATTTAGAATTTTTTAAATATTGATAATATCTTTATGAATTTAAATATTTTAAAATAATAAATCTTAATTATATATTTTTTATTATTTTTTTTATTGTACAATTTGTGTTATTAATATATCATATATGTTAATACAAATATATAAATTTATAAATTTATATTAATATAGTGAAAAATATTTTTTTATAAATTAATAAAATTGTAGATATTAATTAAAATTTATAACCTTAATTTATAATCTTAATCAGATATTTTTTAATTTTATTATTTTTTTTATTATTAGAAAATATTAAATATGTATACAATTAGATAAATATTCAATGAATTTATTTAAATAAGATATTCGTATTATTATAATATAAATTATATAAATAAATAACAAATAATTAATAATTATAATATAATAATATATAATGTTAGATTATATAATATATAATGTTATTAATATATAATATTAATCTGTATATATAAATATAATATAAATATTATAACATATTATATTAATATGTAATAAATAAATAATAAATAATTTTTATATAATTTTTAATATAATATTAATTATTTTATTAATAATATTAGTGAAATATTAATAAAATATTTTCTATATAGCTTATTATATTTATATATATACATAGTTTTTTATTTCTCCAATTAAATTAAATGAATATAATCTATAAGTGAAAATAAAAAGAAAATATTATATGAAGTTTTTTTACAAATGTCTTGTTATGAAATTATAAACAAATATTGAATGTAATCTAAATGTGTATATAGCAATAAATTAAAAAAAATGAAATTGCAATATTTTAAATTTCATTTTAAAATGAAATTTCGAATTTTTTAATAAAGTTTATTATGCTATACATACACTTAAATGATATTTAGCAAAGTTAAAAAAGTTATAGATAAATGTTATATTTTATAGCATTTATTTTACATATAATTTTTTTATTGTTTTTATTTGTGTATCATGCTTCTACAATTTGGATAAAAAATTTTATACAAAAAAATTTAATTATAATTTGAATTAAATACATATTATAAAATTATTTTTTTTAAATTATAATTGATTAAATTTTTCTTTATAATATATAATATATATTATAATATACAAATATAATATAAAATATAAAATATTATATTATTAAAAATATAAAAATTAATCAAATAATTTATGATAAAATATATAATGACTATTATTATAATAATGGTACATCAATAACAACTGAATTATTTTTAATCTACATGAAAAAAATAAAAAAAGTAAAAAATTATAATTTTGTTAAAAAAATAAAAATATTGATATATTAGATAGTAAATATGTGAGAAATAATTTTATATTATTTAGTTTATAGATATAAGTATATTTTTTTAATTTATTAATAGTTTTATACATAATATTTTTAAAAAATTATTTGATGAAACATTTAGCAATAAATAAAATTTTAATATCAAATTTTATTCTCCAGCGGTATCAAATACTGATTCATCTTCATCATCTTTAGATAATTCATAATTATTTTCTAGATTTAAATCAATATTATCTTTGGAAATAATTTCAACAAAGTGTTCGGAAATTATTTCATTAATTTCGTTATTTTCAATAAATGTTTCTTTCTTCTCATCCAAATTTTCAATTTGTTTTGTCTAATAATTATAAATCATTAATATATAAAATATAAAATTTCAAGAATTACATATATTAATTTAATAAAAATATTTATTTACTTTATCGAAGATTTCTTTACTTAAGGGTTTTTTTGTTATAAATGTTATCAATTCTTCTATAGTTGGAATTTCTTTTACATCTTTATAAGAACATTCTAATTTGTCAGGTATAGATTCTGTCCTTAATTTATTTATATGTTAATTTAATAACTTTCAATAATATTACTTTCAATAATAAACATATTATATACATGCATTTACATACATACACAAAATAATTTTATATATATACATATACAAAATAATTTTTTCAATTATTTTAGAAAAGATTAAAAATATAAAATAAAAATTTTTTATAAAGATATATTTTTAAAATTTATTATTGAAAAATGAATTAATCAGCTTTTGAATAGATTAGAGAATAAAAATAACTATTTTTAAAAGTAATTTTATTTTAATAAAAAATTTTAAAATATAAGTATATTAATAAATATACTACAAAAGAAACAAACTACAATCATCAAATAATCATTTAATTAATAATAAATTATTTAATTAATAATTATTTAAATTATTTAATAAATGAATATTTAAGAAAATTTTATTTATTACTTACGATTCAACAACATAATTGTTAAATTTAATTTGTCCTCTAATAAGTATATTCTTCAGAAATAGAAACACTTCAATACAACTCATTGTTATTAAATCCCAACGACTATA